CTTGCGGATCGGGCGGATTCGACTCGTGGTTGGGAAGGAGGGTCAATTGAGGATATACCGAGAGGGTTTTCGTCTTGCCCTTGCTTACACACACCGCGAGGGAATCGCGAAAAGGTAAGCGAATGAAACAGAAGAGACGGCACGAGATGACCGTCGGTCGAAGACATGATACACGAGGAAAGTGCGAGTTAGGAGAACGAGGCAATTTTAAGTTGATGTTGCGTAGCGCAAGGGCGCTCAGAATGGGGATATATAGTGCAATATGGGGGTCTACAGGGGGGTGAAACGAAAGGAAATTAATTGGATATGAAAAATAGTCAGGGATGGGGACACACGTGTGAATAATTGCATAGTTTTAATTTGTAATTATTTTATTTTATTTAGTTAATTAGTTACCATTTGTGGGAGAACGGGTACCGGCCGGTGTCGGTAAACGTAACGACCCGGAGGGAGATCCCGTAGGGGTGATCAGACGATACTGGAAACGCAGGGGATTAGGGGATTTAGAATTCAGCTTGTACACGGGGTGCACGTACCGCCACGGGTGACAGGTGGCGGCGGAATGGCCACGTGTACCGCCGTACGTATAACGTCCCGATCGGGTACAGTAGACTAGTAGGTCCTACTGTAGGGGCGTAGAAATTAGTGTAATGGGAGTGTCAGCCGGGGGAGTCCCAGCTAGCACACGTGGTGCGCGCTCTTCCTGCGAGTACAGGTGGCAGGAGTACCGCCACGTGTGCCGCTGTACAGGTCACTCCCCGGTGGATTACAGTAGAGGTACTCCACTGTAGTGATCCAAAGTAGAAGTGGATCACTACAGTACTGCCGGCCGCCGGAGGTCGACGTACTTAGGGGCGGGGGCAGTACGCTCCCAGAGTAGAAGGGGGTAGCGACCCCCTGGGCGAGAACTTAGGAGAAAGAGGCAGATCGTCCCGTACGGGTTATTCTTGAGGGCCGGAAGCACACGCTCCCCCGTTTGGTCGTTCCACCGCTTGGTGGAAGCGTATGCCCATTGAGCCCTATCCCCTCCGAGGTCGCAATTCCACTCGTCCGTTTACCGGAGTCATAACCGCCGCCCTCAAAGAGAGGTTGGTGGTGTTGTAATATTACCGCTGCCGTGGACACCCCCTCCGTGACGGGGTAAAAACCGAACTGGAAGGATCCATATTATTACAACTGGTCTCCCGACCTAGAAAATCTATTTCTAGGATTCTTTTATTGATCTCCGAATCGGACGACTGGGATTGGAAGGGATCGAGAATCACCGCCTCGTTTCAAGATGAGTGGACGAGAAGACGCGAGATCGCAGGGGGGCTTCCCCCGAGACGGAAGGGATGACGAGTCAGTAAATCGGTCCCAGCTGGGCGAACCAAGTCGCACGGACGGCTCGACAGAGAACGTGGGCTCCGTTAGAAGCGCCGAGGCACGAGCGGCGCATGTGGAGCGCTTGGCCCGCGCAAGGACGCGATCGCAGACCAGAGCGGCATTACCACTGACGCCGGCGGAGGGGCCCCTCGAAGGCCGACAACGCGGAGAGAGCGAGCCGACCCCCGCCATAATCGGCGACGAACGTCCAAATAGGATGACGATCCACGGAGACGCCTTAGAGGCCCACCCGGACCTAGGGGACCTGACCCAGCGGGGGGCCCTAAACACGTGGTTGACGGCCGAGCTGGACAAGCGAATCCCGGCTGCCGTGGAGGCGCAATTGACAAGCACGCTCCGAAAGATCGTTGAGGATCACAGCCGGACCCTCGTCAGGAGCGCCGTGGACGACGTAGTCGGACGCGGCCCCTTTTGGGACACGATCACGTCAACCGTGGGGGACGTTACCCGGGCAGAGGTGCGCGCTCGAGCGCCGCCGGCGGAGCGACTGCCGTTGGCGGCAACGGACGTATTACCGCCGTCGCTGATGCTTGGGAACGCGCGGCCGCAATACCCTCATATGGGACCTGAGACCCCGTGGGATGGAGAAGAGCGCGATGGCCGACTTCAAGCCCGAGAGATGGGACAGCCACCCGCGTTTCCGCCCGGGGCCGGTCGCGTAGTGCTGCCGACGCAGAAGTACCGGAGAAAGACCAAGAGCAAGGGATACGAGACCGACGGATCGGAAGCTAGTGATGCCACGAGGGACGAAACAGACTCCTCTGGGGACGATTTCGAAGTAGACGTGAGGCATGTGCGTCGGATTCGCCCCCTAAACGACCTCTTTAAAAAGGTCATGGATTACCGCCGGTATCGGCTGCACAACCGTTCGGGACGATACAACGCCAAAGTTGCCAGCACGGTTTCGAGGCCCGGGAAGCGGATGACTCTTCAGATGAAGGGCGTGACCTTCAGTGGAGACGACCCGATTGCGGTGCTAAATTTCCTCTCCAGGTTTACGGCGGCGTGCAATCAGAACGGCGTGCATGAGGGAGCGGCCCTCTGGTGCTTCCAGTTCTTCATGACTGGCACGGCCCTGGCAGAGGTGCAGACCCGTATCGTGGGGGAGTCTGGTGTAGCCGACGCCCGTAGGGACGAACTGTTGTCGTCCTATCCGGAGGTCGTCAATTACCTCCTCAGGAGATACGCGACGAATGAAGTCATCGCAGAAGCCTACGCCGAGGTAACGAACTTTATACAGAGTTCGGGGATGTCCGAGACGGAGTATGGCGACCGTCTCTGGAGAAAAGCCCTCCGCTGTGGAAATGTCTTTTCCGATAATCGGCTCAAGTCGCTCTTCGCAGAGGGCCTCCTCCCGGCAATTCGTACGCAGGTGCGTCACCACCTCACGACGCATCCCCGCATAGCTTTTACGGAGCTAACGCAGTACGCCGAGGGCATGGGGACGGCCTACCGGGGCGGAAGGAATTACCCGGCAACCGCAGGGAGCCGGGACCGCTCGGGCCACCGGACAGGAAGCCAGCAGCGTAGCCTGCTCCTCTCAGAAGAATCGTCCGAACCGGGTCCCCTCGAGGAAGTGGATGTTTTCTCGGAGCGCCCGCTCGCGATGGCCGTCGAGACGGCCGCGTTCCCCTCGCCCCCAGGGACACGCACGACGTACTTCACAGCCTCTCCGGGTTCGACGGCACCAGACGGTGGGAGCAGTATGTGGCCCAAGCCAAATACACCCCCTCGGGGAGGAGACGCCCGGCGTTGGGAGCCGCCTCAGCAGGACGCGAGCAGCGGAACGCCCTGCCGCCTCTGCCTTTCGCGGGAGAGACCCTGCTGTCATGGGATGTCGCCGGACGTCCGAGCTCGGATTTTAGCCCAACGGGAGACAAACTTCCAACAGAGACGCACCCAGAGGAATTACAGCCCTGGGGGACGGGCTCGTAGCTCACCAAGGGCGAATTCGTCACCGAGTTTCCGGACAACCCCCTTTCCGGGGGCCCCGCAGGGGACCCAGAATATCGAACCGGGCGCGTATTCCGGCGGCGCCCACGGAAGGAGACCCGGAAACGACAGGGAGGCAGCGTAGAGGCTTCTGTCTCCCTTAAACCGAGCCTCGTCCGGAGGGGAGCACCCTCGACCCGAAGGACACACCGGCACCGGCAGAAGGGAAAGCCTCGTGGTAATAATGTAGCAAGAGACCCGGTTTGCGTCCTGAGAAAGGAGAACTATAAATTAGACCTGTCAGTCGGATGCCGACCGACGGTTATGTTTCCTATCAGGGGTGTCCTAGACACTGGAGCCGGCCCTAACATTATCCACGAGCGCGTCCTTCCCCCGAATTGGAGAGAGAACGCGGCGAGAAATCCGACCCCACGGGTAACGGACGCTTCGAAGAATGCAATGGCTCTTAGCGGGGTGGTGGTGCTACACGTCCGAATTGGAGATATGACCACGAGGACGCATTTTTTAGTGGCGAGCAACCTAGCGGTGAGCGCCATTTTGGGGACGGAGTTTATCGATCGCCATGTGAGGGGCATCTTGCCAAAAGAGAGGCCAGTTGTTTTCCGCAATGGAGGAAGTGTGACCCTGCTGGGGAGCGTCCCGGGGCCCGAAGGGAATCGGAAAACTATGGGGAACCTGCCGACACGGACGAGATCCAACAAGGTGCGGGTGGCTAAGCTGATTGTGCTGCCACCGATGTCACAAGCGCCGGTATTGGTAAACACCGAGACAAGAGGCCTGGTGTTCCTCCAGTGTCACCCGAAAACGGTTAAGAAGAACCTCAGCCTGATGGCGAACGGGGTAATGGAGCCCACAGGGCTCCCGTTTTGGGTCCGCATGAGCAATTTCCGTGATCGGCCGGTACGGATTCCGAAGGGAGCTGTCATGGGGCTCGCATTACCGGCTCCCCAAGCGGTGCTGACGATAACGTCCGAACAGGCTCAAGAGCTGGGCCTCGACCCCTTTGGTGGTCCGCCCTCGCCGGGACGGGAAGAAGGAAAAGTTGGTGAGGAGCGAAGTAGTCGACCGGATCACTGGACGGAGCAGCTAGAGATAGGCGCCGAATACCAGACCCATAGGACCCGAATTGTGGACCTGTTACGGGAGTTCGAAGACATGTGGTCCGGGCGATTGGGGACCATAGCGAGCGCCAAGCATCGGATAGACCTCGAGGATGGCGCCCGGCCTGTTTATCAGCCCCCTTATCGGGCGGGGCATCGAGCCAGAGCCGTCGAGAAGACCGAGATTGAGCGGATGTTAAAAGAGGGGGTCATTGAGCCATCCAGCTCAGAATGGGCTAGCCCCGTAGTCCTGGTGCCAAAGAAAGACGGCACCCTACGCTTTTGTGTGGACTACCGGCGCCTCAATGCGTTGACCCGTCGGGACTCCTACCCCATTCCGCGGATGGACGAATGCATTGACTCCCTTGGGGACGCCACCATCTTCTCCACCCTCGACTGCAACAGCGGGTACTGGCAAGTCGAGGTGGATGAAGCTGACAAGGATAAGACGACGTTCACGTCCCATATGGGGTTGTACCGATTCATCCGGATGCCGTTTGGTCTCAAGAACGCCCCAGCGACTTCCCAAAGGGCGGTGGACATTATCCTGTCACGGGTTGGATGGCAATACGCGTTGGTGTATCTCGACGACGTTATCGTATACTCCAAGACCTTACAGGAGCACTTCACCCACATGAGGACGATCTTGGGGATGTTAAAAGATGCGGGAGTGTCCCTCAAACTCCCCAAGTGCCATTTCTTTCAACCTCGGTGGACTATCTGGGTCACGTTATTCGACCTGGAAAGTTGGAGGTGAGCTCACGAACGTGCGAAGCAATCCGGCAGGCCGAGGCGGCGACAACCCAGACGGGAATCCGTTCCTTTATCGGTCTCTGTAACGTATTCCGGCGCTTTGTGCCAAACTTTGCACGCATTGCAACCCCCTTGAATCGCAAACTCGAGAAAGGACAGCCCGCAAAATTCGGCGACCTCACGGACGAAGAACACGAGGCGTTCGAGGAGCTGAAACGTCGTCTCACGTCACCTCCAATCCTAGCACTGCCCAAGCAGAAAGGGGGCTACAAATTGGACACAGACGCATGTGACCATCAGGTGGGATGCACTCTCCTGCAGGACCAAGAGGGTCCTGTTTACGTCCCAATTAGGTATTGGAGTCGAGCCCTGACGAAGCAGGAGCGCGACTACACTACGACGGAAAAGGAATGTTTGGCCATTGTTTGGGCTATTCTCCTCCTGCGGCCGTACCTGGAGGGACAAAGATTTACCGTTCGAACGGACCACGATTCCCTGAGGTGGGTCCTGAACCTAGCCGATGCCAAGGGACGACTAGCCCGCTGTCGCCTCCGGTTATCGGAATACGACTTCATAGTCGAACACCGTGCCGGGATTAAACACCAGGCAGCCGACGCTCTCTGGCGGCTGGAGACGACCGGATTGGATACTTCGACCCTGAGGGATGAAATACCTTGCTACGTGGTAGACGAAGACGTACAAGGAGATCCACTGTCCTCCGAGGGCGTGACACCTCGTTATCCCGGCAACCCGGACGTGATGATTCTTGCGCATGATGATGCCGAGATATTGCCCGTGATGCAAGACGACCTAATTAGGGAGCAGAAGACAGACTCGTATTGTAAGGCCATGATGGAAGAGGTCGGGAAATCGGGAACGCAGTTCGAGGTCAATCAACACGGCCTCCTGTGCCGGCGTGCACCCTTGGATGGGAGTATACAGATCGTGGTCCCGGCGTCCCTGAGGGCGAGAATCTCCTTCTTGAGTCATTACCCGAGATTACAGGGACACCCCGGCACGAGCAAGATGTACGAGACAATGAGGCGTCTGTACTACTGGCCTCATATGGCTTCGGACGTCCAACAGACGGTCGCCGACTGCCGGTCGTGCGCCCGCGTGAGAGGAACGCAATACAGCCAGCAGAAGAAGCTAACGTTGTTCCCCGCCGCCGGGCCGCTAGAATTCGTCGCCATGGACCTGTATGGACCCTTGCCAAAAACCCCACACGGGAACCGCCACAAATTGGTCATCACGGACCGCTTTACTAAGCTGTGCCGCGCTATACCCCTTCGGACGACTCAAGCTCAGCAGGTTGCCCAGACCTTCCTTGACGCGTGGGTGTACCCGTATGGCATGCCGGATACACTACTGACCGACAACGGACCCCAGTTCACAGCTAAATTCTTCGAAGCTGTATGCGGCCCTCTCGGAATTCGGCACGTGCTCACGACGGCCTATCATCCGCAAACTAACGGTCAGGCCGAGAGGTTCAACCGGACGTTGGCGACCCGATTGAGGCATTACGTCTCCGAACACCAACGGGACTGGGACGATTACGTACAACCCCTGACGTACGCGTACAATATGCAAGTCCACAAGTCTACGAGTACGACCCCCTTTGACCTCATCTTGACACGGCACCCACCAGGGATATCGGTCCAAGCTCCTTCTAGCGCCATACCGTCCCCAAATGGGAGTGAACCGACATCGGCACAAATGAAGCCAATCACCCTACAGCGGGTGCGGAAGATTCTCTCCCGCGCGGGTACCAAGTTGACACACGCCCAAGCACAGTACAAGAGAAATTTCGACAAGGCCGTAAGGACGTTACCCTCCTTCGAGGTCGGACAGGAGGTCTTTCTCGACAGACCCCCGGATTTTTCTGCGACGCCGCTCGAGAATGAGGACGGCCACCGGAAACTCCTTCCTAAAACGACAGGTCCCTATAGGGTCATAAAGGCGCCAGTGGGCGGAGACACGGTCACGATTGAGCGCAACGGTCTCTTGGATGCAGTATCCATAAACCGTGTGACAAAGGTGCCGCAACCCTCCGTCCCGAAGGCCCCCTCGTCCGTAAGGTCGACGCCCATGGCGATACCCCCGGCAAGCGGAACCACACCACCCGAAAGGGCCTCCGTATCACGGACCACCCCGACGGTCTCCATCGACCCGGACAGCGAGGTCCCCGTCCATCAGGACCCCGCTGAGGCCGAAGCGGATACAGAGCACGCCATAGACCGCATCGTCGCCCATGGCGAGGCGGACGACGGCTCCCTACTTTATCACGTCCGATGGTTCGGCTATAGCCCCAAAGAGGACACCTGGGAGCGAGCGGATAACCTCCCAGAGAACTTCATCCGCCGATACCGAGCTAGACACTGACCGAGACGGTCAGTCCAAGAAGAGGGGTAAGGCTTCCGAATTTTTAAAGTGAGATTCGGAACTGTGCAGGAGCCCAAATAGGCCAGCCAACCCGCTTGGGATATACCTGTAAACCCTGTCGGGAGAACGGCGAAAGACCGACAAGACGGACAATTAGGGCCGAGAAAGACCCGTCCGGGATTGCATGTCCCCACGGCCGGAGCCCTCAGGGAAAACCCAATCGAGACCACGTTAGGAAGGTCCCCATGACGAGAGCAGACCCCTCTGGGAAAACTAATTGAGACGCGGTCGGGACGGCGCCGAAGACTAGAGCAGCAAAAGGGGAAAGGATGCGAGCAAGCTGACGCAGCGGTCATCCCAGGGAGGGCGACAAACTCCAAAATTCCGCCTCCGAAGGTCGCGTCAGAGGTAAGCTGGTGGACGAGAGTGGAGCACGCTACGTGAAAAAAATCGACCAAAAAATGGTAATGCCCAATGGGAACGCCCAAAAGGATATTGGTGGCGGTTCAAGGAGGCGGTTTGAGGCACGAAGATTTGAGGGAACGTCCAATGGGAGCTCGTTAATTTACAAGGACAAGCCTCGAAGACGAGAAAACCAGGCACGTTTTACTGGCAAAAAGGCCGATTTTTAGTGCGAAGGAAAAACCCGATCGGGCAGTCCCTAGCCTAACGAAGGCGAAGTCCCGACCCCACATGGATATCAGTGACGCACGAACGACCCATCATGGACGCAGCGACGACGATTGCGGCTGGAAGAAACCCTGTACGGGAGAGCGTACGAAGGAAGACAACCGCGAGGAGGACGAAAGAAATGCGAAGGCAGTTTATTTGGAGGTAGGAGTACCCGGACGAGGACGTTTACGAGAAGGGGCGCCAGCAGAATTGGAGGCTGAGGCCCCGTCGGCCCCGCTACCGGCAGAACGGTCAGGCTCGAGCCCGAACCGGACAAGGACGTCCGAAATAGCGCCGTCGGTCACGTCCCGAACGCGGGCCTGCAGAATCCCGCTAAGGGCAGACTGAACCTCATTCAGAGCCGAACGGGTACGCTCAAGGGTATGAGAGTCCCGTATGAGGGTCGCCGCTTGACGAAGGATAGCCGGAACCGTAGCAGCCGGTTCAGCCCCATAGGTCTGGGCATTCTCAAGATACTCTTGCCAAGCTGCCCTGAGGTCTTCATCCACAATGGGCGGTACGTCCACTTGGTCGAACGTCTCCAGGACGAGTTCGGGCCTCGCGGCGACGAAGCTAGCCGTCGCACCGGCAGGCGGGCTGGAGGCAGGAACTTCAACGATGTCCTCCACAACCGCAGCGGCCGATTGGGTCGCTCCACCCCCGTCGTCGGGAGGCAGCACGGACCTCAGAGGAGCCACCGGTACCGGAGAGGGAACATCGTCGTCGCCAGAATAGTCCGGTCCCCTTCCTTCGGGAGGCGCAGCGACGGACTCGCCCCCGTATAGGGACGCCACGGCCGAGACAGCCCCGCGACTATTCGGAGGAAAAATCGGAGCGGCATCCGCGGCGGCCTCATGAGGATGAAAGCACTCCGGAACGAATCCTTTCCCTCGGGGGTAATAATCGGCGACTTCCAATACCGGCCAGGGGGAGCGATGAGGCTCGGGAAGGACGACCCGAGTGGGATATGCTTTGCCGTCGTCATGCCCACCAGGGTGACGCGGCATAGGCGCGAACCGGTCGGTCTCATAGTCGTACCAAAGGAACCCCGGGGTCTTCGTCCAATCGGTTTCGGCGGCGTATCGCAAAAGCGTCTCCGTCTCCTGAGGGTCGAATTCCGTTCCTCGGACGATATTCTGTACGCCGAGCTCGCGGACGTACGAAATAAGCCCGGTAGGCAGAGGCATCAGTCGACCCACAGGGGAAGCGATACCGCGGTCCTGGAAGAGACGCCAGTCACGGTTCTTGGCGTTCATCTGAATCCCGTAGCGGGCGGCGTGAAGGAAGGCCATGACGGACGATACGGCCCACTCGACGGCGACGATCTGCCAAAGCCATGCACGGAGGCGACTCTTCTGAAGGTCCGGACTACCGTGATACGCCAAAACGGCTGGCGTGGGCACGCAGAGCGACCGAGGGACGTCCCGATAGAAGGGTTGTGGTGGCACGCGGATGTAGTAGTTCTGCCGGAGTCGGGAAGGCATGTCGAAGAATTCCAAATTATGCCACCCATAGAAGAACCACTGCGTATTCCGAACACGGGACTCGTCGGAACAGTTGTCGCCCCACCAGCGCCGATCGCGAAGCCAATATAACCGGTCATACGGGGGCTCGAAGGCAAGGAGCCCGAGCACGCTGTCACCCGCAGGGAGAAAACTCCCGCCAGGGGCGACGTCCTCAGGTCGCGGAAGATGTTGAAGACCGGAGAGGATGGTCTGCAGACGGATTTGATACTCCCTTTCGGGCCAACAACGCACATGGGATAGATCGGCCCGTCCATGCGTGCGCGTCCGGTCGTTCGGTGTCAGGGGTAGGTGGCGCCAGCGAGCTGTTCACGCTTCGTCCCTGCTTCGGCGATACCCATTCGGGAGGCTGATTCCGTCTTGACAGACTTCTTGAAAACGGAGAGCGTCAAAGTACCAATGGGACCAGCCCACGTACTGTTCGACCGGGTACGGCACCACGGAAGGACGTTGGGAAGCCTCGGCGGGGGTGCGGCGCTGACGATGGTCGTACTCCTTTGCCGGGTTGACCCAGCGGGACGCCGACCCGGGCACGAGAGGAGACATAGCTGGAGGCGCCGGAGGTGCTCGAGAGGGTTCCGAGATGAAGGACGTGGGGTCGAGCGGCGGACTTGTAGGCGGTAGGGAGGCCGTCGCATCCGTATTTATAGGCACCGTTCGCGGAATTCGTCCCGGCGGCGGAGGGGCGCCCCAGTGGGTTTCGCCCTGAATTATGTCCGTGGAGGTACTGTGCGCATTTGTCGGCCTGAAAGGCGTTGCTCCGTAGCCCACGCCCCTTCGGCGGCGGGCCTGCCTCCTAATCATTGCGTGAGAGGGAGTCGTCCGATGGCGGAGAATAACGCAAGGGGCGGGAGAAGCGACACGACCACAGGACGGGCGGACGCGAGAGAGGTCACCTGCTCCCCTCTGTCACACGGGAATGTGCCGGCCTTCCTCAAAGGACAGAAGCAGCGAGGACTCCCGAAAGGGCACGGAAGGCTTGACTGGAATAGACCGTGCGTCCGAATTCGGAGGAGTACCGCGAGGTCGAGTGCCGCCGTGCAGAGGCGTCGCGGAGGCGAACCGGCGCCTAATCACGACCCGAAGGGAGTTCACACCGGGCCGGCTTGGGCCAGTTTCGCAATGGCCCCGTGGCGTCGGTAACGTCCGTACAACGGCCGCTTGAAGGAGGCTAACGGGCGCGGGCCACGAACGTAATGGCCGCCCCGAGGACGTGGCGCACTCAAAGAAGAGGGGTGTGTGGGAGAACGGGTACCGGCCGGTGTCGGTAAACGTAACGACCCGGAGGGAGATCCCGTAGGGGTGATCAGACGATACTGGAAACGCAGGGGATTAGGGGATTTAGAATTCAGCTTGTACACGGGGTGCACGTACCGCCACCGGTGACAGGTGGCGGCGGAATGGCCACGTGTACCGCCGTACGTATAACGTCCCGGTCGGGTACAGTAGACTAGTAGGTCCTACTGTAGGGGCGTAGAAATTAGTGTAATGGGAGTGTCAGCCGGGGGAGTCCCAGCTAGCACACGTGGTGCGCGCTCTTCCTGCGAATACAGGTGGCAGGAGTACCGCCACGTGTGCCGCTGTACAGGTCACTCCCCGGTGGAGTACAGTAGAGGTACTCCACTGTAGTGATCCAAAGTAGAAGTGGATCACTACAGTACTGCCGGCCGCCGGAGGTCGACGTACTTAGGGGCGGGGGCAGTACGCTCCCAGAGTAGAAGGGGGTAGCGACCCCCTGGGCGAGAACTTAGGAGAAAGAGGCAGATCGTCCCGTACGGGTTATTCTTGAGGGCCGGAAGCACACGCTCCCCAGTTTGGTCGTTCCACCGCTTGGTGGAAGCGTATGCCCATTGAGCCCTATCCCCTCCGAGGTCGCAATTTCACTCGTCCGTTTACCGGAGTCATAACCGCCGCCCTCAAAGAGAGGTTGGTGGTGTTGTAATATTACCGCTGCCGTGGACACCCCCTCCGTGACGGGGTAAAAACCGAACCGGAAGGATCCATATTATTACACCATTAATGTGGATAACTTTTGATTAGTTCCGGGATCTAGCGCCGCGAGCTACTGTAGTGGCTCCGGCGGAGCGATACATACCTTACCCCACTGACCACCAAGTCAGTAAAGGTAACCCGAGTTGCCAGAGTCCGATATCGCCTTGGTCGAAGTCCGTCTTTTGCAAGACATTCCCTTCTACTACAGACTACTTTATCATTTGCGCTCGGGGGTTCCCTTTTCTTTTCCTTTATTTCCCTATTCTTTTCTATCTCTAATTCTAACTATTTCCCTTATCTTGTGTTGGTACCATCGGTATTGGTTGCGACCGAACCGGTGTAGGTGTCTTGGCCATCGGGCGACACGTTGACGTAGCGTTGCTACTGTGACCAATTTCCGACGGAGACTGTTGCAACGACGTCTCCATCGAAGGGCTTTGTCGTGTTACAAGCCAGTGTTGGTGCCATCGGCCTCGGTTGCGACCGAACCGGTGAAGGTGTTTCGAGCCATCGGGCGGCACAGCTGGTGTAGCGCTGCTACTTTCAATTCATCCCATCGGGCTACGTTGCGACGCCCCCGTCGACGGCCTTGTCGCCTTAAAAGGCGTCGAGGAAGCTCAACGATCATTGGACTTACAACCCAGTGGAACCGGGGTACCTACGTACAGGCCCCACCCCACACTCGTCGAGCAATTCTCTTCGCAAGCCCCTACCACATCGATCCCGGGCCTGGCTGTTTCTCTGTGCCCCCTATCAGGAATCTGCGCTACTAAGAGTCGAAAGCTCGTTTAAACGGAGAAGGGAGAGTCGGAC